AATGTCAATCAGCAACTTCCAGAACTGCCAGTAATTCCTGAGTTTGTCCACTTTGGAAGCATTTTGAACTGTTGTTCCAGTAACCTGTAATAAGTGGTATTTTTTTTTTTTTTTTTTTAAGGCCTGACCTTAGGCAGACTTTAGAAATGAATATTGTATCGAGCTCTGTACCATACTGAAAATAAATAAATTGATCATGCTTACAGTGTTGCATGAATGGGAAGCACATCCTTAAGCTGACAAGCTTCTGTTTGGGCCTCTTCGCAGATTCTTCCCTTACTTTGTAAGCCTCCATGCAGACCTGGCCGCAAACCTATTTCATACACAGCAGCACAGCTCTGACTTTGCTTTGGAGTTCTTAAATCAAAGTTAAACTAAAACTCTTACAGAAATGTCATAGAAAAGAACTAACTTTAAGAAACCCATACTTCAGAAATGTTGGATTAGATATGTTGCTGCTAAGTAGTGTATTTAATGTCACGTCCAAGTGACTCTCTTTTGGTATCCATTCAAAAACCATGTATGTTCTGGTCACTTGTAAATAAATAATGATCTACAGAAAGTATCCATGAAAGGTGTGACACTGGCCATTTGTGGGAAGCAATTAATAGCAAGTATGAGCAGGTAATAATTTATGAATGGGGACTTATCATCTCCTAGACACTATATGAGTTACCATGAGAGACATTTGTGGAAACAAGTATGTAAGAAATTAAAATTTCAATACTTGTAAGACCGTTAGCGATATTACAACAGCAAAGCAGACAAGAATCGATTTTTGTCCAGTGTGAACCCTTTGTATAAAATCTACTGAGAAAAGCTAGCCCACTGAAGGGGTGTAGAAGGCTTTGGAGAAAATTGCACGAAGTGAAGTGTCCAGTAGAGTGAGCGGAGACAAATTTCCTTGACTTCACATGTGAACGTGAATAGAAAATTATATTTCTCTAAGTTATATCACAGTATTAGACATATCTGTAACATTTAATGATTAAGATGTCACTTAAAACTTCTACTTTTTAAAAGTTTTTTGTGTTTTGGTAGTAGTTTGGTAGGTTTTTTTGGTAGTTGGAGGTTTTTTTGGTTTGATCAATGGTTATCACTTACTAGGACCACAGTTTTCTGCTTGCTTTCGTTATCTGAGCACATCAGTTACAGTCAACCTGTAAGGAGAATGTCATGGTTACGGAATTACAGAATAACGAGACTATTATTGTGCATTCCAGAGTATTTGCAAATAGTATTCAGATGTCTTTAGGCTTAGTTAATATTTTTATTTCTATCTATATGTTTTGGCAAAACTGATGTCCAAGTATGCATCCAGTCAGTTACTAAGCAGATCTGAATGTTTGCAGCTGTAGAACATATTGTAAGGCATTTTGAAGTGTTTAGTGACAAGAAAACATCTAGGCAAAAAAACATCTTTGTATTCTGATCCACAGCAAATACTGTGACTTACAGGGAAGACAGTGTGACAGATACAGTGACAAACTTCATTAAGTTATCAGATTATTTGTTCGGTCTTTTTTGAATGGATTGCATTCATTCCTGTCTACCTGTCTAGCATCAGGATGATGAATTACACAGTTTATCAGTTTAAAAAAAAAAAAAAACTATTAGCAAACTGTAAAACTGTGTCCATATTGTGAATTGAACCATCTTAGCTGTGGGAGGAAGGAGGAGCTGGTTGGATTTTAAACCACTTTTATTTAAACAAGTTAACCACTGTGCATAGACGGTGCGATGAAAGTTTGAAAGAAACTGCTTCCTCATCCCTGCAGTGGTTTTGTTCTCTACACAAAACTGAAAAAGCTCAGCTTTGAAACTCAAAGCATAATACATTAAAGACAACTTAGGCGTGTGCACCCTTTGGGAGGAATACTTGCATCTTCTAGTTGAATGCTCAAAATCTGTAATTTATGGAAAAAGCACCCTTGAACTTGCTGAGACTCTCCTTTAGATTCTTACGTAAATGTGTCCTAACTTACTGGTAACAATTAAATACGTGAAGCTTTGCATAAGATTTAAAAAGCAAGTGGCATTAGTACTATGCCATTTTGTTACCTTAAAAATGAATCTGGTTTTAAGGAGTTTATATGATATGAATCTTTATCTCTTGTGTACATCAACATAATGAAAAATCACTTAATTTCAGTTTTATGTTTTTTGACTCTTACTGATTTATTATTTTAAATTATTCAAATAGTCTTCACAATAGAAGTGAATTTTAGTGTTAAGAGAGCATCAGCATATATTCACAGCCAGAACTTTTACATTAGAAGGGTATGCTTAAATTCTGTGCTGTGATCACAAAGTGAAAAGAAGAAATTGAAGAAATGCAGAGATGAAGCCTTGCATGACAGTGTTCACTTGCTGTGTTACATTCTGTATTTTTTTTTTTTTAGTGTAAGCTTAAAAATTAAAATAATTTGCCTTTGGCAAGCATGAAAGGCATCAGGTACAGCCTGCATGAAACATATAGTGAAAGTTCATAGAATTTTATCACTTTGTGCAGCTTTCAGGAAACAGTCACATACTTCATTTTAGAGCATGTGGATTTGGAATTTAATTCTTAAAGAATTTGGAATTCTTAAAGAATTTTCTAGCCTGTATGTTTTAAATTACCAGAAATAAATTGTGATGCTTTTTATAGGGAACAAACTTTAAATGAAATTAATATTTGTTAATAAATAGGACAGTTTTGGCGTTTTCTACCATGAAGATTATAGTGAACTATAGATGAGTTTGCCAAAAGTAAATAGAGAGCGCAACATGTTAGTATTTTCTTACTGAAAATTTTTTTTTTCCCCCAGATGAAAAACAAACTTGCATCCAAATTCCTTGGGAATTTTAACTTTTGACCTTATTAACAATACACAGTTTCCTTTCAGAGGTAACTTTTGAGACATTTCTGCTGGCTTTCGAGCTGCCTATGCAACGCAAAAGGGAATATTACTGTGTCTGTGGTAGTTCAACTTTTTGCTATGAAGGTATCCTCTGGCTTCTCATATCTGCATTCCCACTGTCTTGTCATACTCTTTTTCCCTCCCCTCCACCATCATGATTTTGGATAAGTATTCTGAAGTTCACTATTCAAAATAAGACTCTTGAGACTTTTTGCAGATCAATGTGAATAAATAACGTGGTTTTTTCTTCCCCTCACTGGTGTTTGTAGAAGAGGTGGAGGAGGAGAGAAAGCAGAACGAGAAGGAGGATAAAGAAAGAGAAGAGACTCAAAAAGAAGAGGAGAAACACACAGAAAGAAGTATGTAAAGTTAAAACTATTATGTTTCGTTTCAGTAATGGCAAATACTAGAATCACAGAATGGTTGAGGTAGGGAGGGACTTCTGCAGATTGTCCAGTCCACCCCCCCTGCCCCCCATCCCAGTCCCAGCTCAAAGCAGGGTCAACTGCAGTAGGTTGCTCGGGACTGAGTCCAGTCAAGTTCAGAAAACATCCAAGGATGGAGACTCGACAACCTCTCTCGACAACATATTCCAGTGCTTGACCGCCCTCACAGTTAAACAAAATAAAAATAAAAAAATAGAATAATAAATAGAATAAAAATTCCCCCCTTGAACCTTCTCTTGTCCGGATTGAACAATTCCAGCTCTCAGCCTTCACTTATATGACAGATGCTCCAATTCCTTAAGCATCTTTGTGGCCCTCCACTGCACTTGCTCCAGTATGTCCATGTCTATTGTACTGGAGAGCCCGGAAATCGACACAGTACTCTTAGGTGCAGCCTCTCAGCGCTGACTAGATGAGAAAGATTACTTTCCTCAGCTTGCTGGCTATGCTCTTGCTAATGCAGCCCAGGATGCTGTTGACCTCCTTTGCTGCAAGGGCATGTTGTTGGCTCATGGTCAACTTGATGCGTGCCAGAACTCCCAGGGCCTTTTCTGCCAGGCTGCTTTCCAGCTGCTAAGTCCCCATCCTGTAGTGATGCATGAGGTTATTCCTTCCTAGAGGCAGGACTTTGCATTTCCCTTTGAACTACATGAGGTTACTCTCTGCCTGTTTCTTTAGCCTCTCATGGTCCCTCTGGATGCCAGCATCTGGTGTATCAATACTTTTTGTAGTTTTTTTTCCTACAGATTTCTGAGGGTACACTTTGTCCCATCATCCATGTAAAGAAGATATTAAACAGTATTGTCCCAGTGTCTACCCCTGGAGTACGCCGCTACTGACTGGCCTCCAGACGGTCTCTGTGCCACTGATCACAACTGATTGACCCAGTTTTCGCTCCACCTCGCTGTCCGTTTATGTAGACGGTACTTCATCCATTTGTCTATGAGGATGTTATAGGAACCAGTGTCAAAAGCCTTACAAAGTCAAGATAAATACATCTCTCCTCATCCACCAAGCCAGTCATCTCATCATTGAAGGCTATCGTGTTGGTCAAGAATGATTCCCCCTGCATAAATCTATGCTAACTGCTGAAAATCACCTTCAGCCCTCTCCTTCAGCACTTGTGGGTGCCTCCCATCAGGTAGCATGGGCTTCTGTATGTCCAGTTTGTATAAATGTTCCCTAACCCGATCCTCTTCTACCAAGGGTAAGTCGTCCTTGCTTCATGTTGTTCCACTGGTCTCAGGGACCCGGGATTGCAGAAGAGAAGTCTTACCAGTAAAGACCAAGGCAAAGAAGGCATTGAGTACCTCGGCCTTTTCTGTGTCCTTTGTCGGCAGGCTCCCTGCTTCATTCACCAGAGGGCCCGTGTTTTCCCTAGTTTTACTGCTGATATATGTGTAGAAGCCCTTTTTTTTTTTTTTTTTTTTTTTTTGGCCTTTAATGTCCCTCACTAGATTCAACTCCAGATGGGCTTTGGCTTTCCTAACCCTATCCCTGCACAGTCAGTGTCTTTATATTTCTCCTGGGTCACCTGTCCCTGCTTCTACCTCTTGCATGTTTCCTTTTTATGTGTGAATTTAGTCAGGAGCTCCTTGTTCATCCATATAGGCCTCCTGCTACTCCTGCTTGCTTGTTTTGCTCATTGGGATGGACTGTTTCTGAGCTTGAAGGAGCTGATCCTTGAAAATAAACCAGCACTCCTGGAACCCTCTTCTCACCAGGGCTGAAGCCCATTTGAATTCTTCCAAGCAGGTCCCTGAATAGGCCCAGGTCTAATCTCCTAAAGTTCAGAGTTGTGATCCTGCTATTTGTAGCCAAGGCTACCTATGACCTTCACAACTCCAGCTAGTTCGTTCTTGTTTGTAAGAATCAGGTCCAGCAGAGTTTCCCCTCATTGTTTCCTCAGTCGTCTGTGTTAGGAAGTTAGTGTTAATGCCCTCCAGAAACCTCCTGGATTGCTTGTGCCCTGCTGTGTTGTTCCTCCAGCAGACGGCAGGGTGGTTAAAGTTCCCTGTAAGGACCAGGGCTGGTGAACATGAGGCTTCTTTCAGTTATCTGAAAAGGCTTCATCTACTTCTTGATCAGGCAGTCTATAGCAGACACCCACCACAAAGTCACCCACGTTGGTCTGCCCTCTAATCCTAACCCATAAGCTCTCAACTGGCTCCTCATCCATCCCAGAGCAGAGCTTCGTGAATTCCTGCTACTCTTGTCACATAAAGGGCAACTCCCCTTCCTCATCTACCTGGCCTTTCCTCCCTGAAGAGCCTGTAACCATCATTTGCAGCACTGCAGTCCTGTGAGCTATCCCAGTATGTCTCTGTGATCCCAATGAGGTCATAGCCCTGCAGCTGCATGCAGTCCTCTAATTCTTCCTGTTTGTTCTCCATGGTGAGTGTATTAGTGTGCAGGCACTCCAGAGAAGCACTCAGTTGTGCTGATTTCCTAGAAAAGGTATGAGAGCTTTCCCCACGATTCTGTCATGTAGGTACTTCCTTATTTATGGGCATATGCTTGCCCCCTCTGTCACGAGGTCTCTCCTGTTCACGTTGCCCCACGCCTTTTGCTTGCCATCTCCGTCCACCACTTCCTCATTTCACTGTTGGTTATCATCTCCCTTGCCCATTGCTCCTAGGTTAAAGCTCTCTTTGCCAGGTTGGCATCCCATTGGCAAAGATGGTTTTGCACCTCTTTGTAAGGTGGATCCCATTTCTTTCTAACAGTTCTTAATCCTCAAAGAGGATGCGTGGTCATAAAAGCTAAAACTCTGCTGTCAACTCCAGCTGTGCGACCATTTAGTTACTGGCCCACAGAATACATCTGCTTCTCTGCAAGCTCTTACTCCTTATCATCAGGATGGAGGAGAAAACTACCATGGTCTCCCACATCCTGGGCTGTTGCTTCCAGAGCCATGTAGTCGTGCTTGATGTGTTCCAGGTCTTCCCTTTGTAATCATAGGTGCCCACATGGAAGAGCAGCAGGGTTTTTTTCTTTTTTATTTCTACCAGGTTTTCTGATGGATGGAACAAAGATGTAGCCCTTTTTTCCTTCATTTTCCACTGTTAACTGTCTTTCTATAAAAGACTGAAAATTCTTACCTTAAAGATTCTTAAATTTTTTTCCACAAATACTCAGCATTCTGCAAATGATGTAGAGTCCTGTATCCCTATAAAACTCTTAAATTTGAGGACTGAAGCCTTCATAAATTTTGGTAAATATCCTAGTCGTCATGCAGATTTTAAAAATTACTTTTAGTAGTGCAGCTCTTAAAAAAAAAAAAAAAAAAAACTGTACAGAAATTTATAAAGTTAGAAGTAAAACTCACAGAGTGCATGTAATAGAAGTAAAGAAAAAATTGCTATGGAAAATAACTTTTATAAATAGTTCTGCTATAAGCCTGTTCTTTTGTTAGGTTTTTACTTTACTCGTTATCCAAGAAGGCGTCTCCAGTCAGAGTTGGAGGTACAAGTTAAAACTTCTTTGCAGGTAGGAAAGAGTTCTGTGCTGACACAGGCAGAATGACACACAGAGGTTTTATTTGGCCGATTGGTTACTCTGGAAAAGATGCCTTCTTCAGAAGAATGTTTTCCTCTGCTTCTCAGCAGCCATGTTTTATTTTAGGATAACGCTGATAGGAGCAGGAAGAACTGGAGGCAAGTGAGAAGCAAACGGTCTTGCATTTTGGGGTTTGATTGGACAGTTCCTGTGTTCAATGATAGTCATGTACATTCCTGCAATAACTATTTTGAAGCATATTTCTCAGAATTAAGTGATTTTAAAAGGTGATATATTGTTGGTTAATAGTGAATCAGGTCTCAATAACAGGACGGCAATATAAGGAGATCAAGGAGACCTTTGTTCTGTTTCAATGTCATGTCTTATTTTTCCCCAAAATATTGTTATTGTTTCAGAATCAAGAATGCTTAAACCAGAGAAAAATGAAACTTCGTGATAGTTACAGCATCCTACAGATGCCTCTTTTAAGATTCTTACCAGTAATGGCATCTAATCATTTCAGGTGAAGTGTCAAGGAGAAAGCGTTCTAAATCTGAAGATATGGACAGCATACATTCTAAACGCCGCCGGTACATGGGAGAAGACTACGAAGCAGAACTCCAAGTAAAAATTACAGCCAGAAGAGACGTTGACCAAAAATTGCAAAAGGTAGAGTGGCGATGCAGAATGAAGATAGCAAAAACAGCTTTGTCCCTTCTCTTATCATCTCTGAATTAGTTAAGTTTTCTTGCGTACTCTCTGCCCCTATGCACCCACGCACGCTTTTTTTTTCCTTAAACTTCGACACAATTCAAATTCAGCTAACAACAATGATTTAACATAAAGACCTATTTTTAAGGAGGGGCCAAATATTATTTGAAAGCTAAGCAACTAAGCTACAGTAGTTATGTTTGAAATGTACTAAGCGTGTTTAAACTCTTTGAGTTTCATTTTGAATATAAATGGAGACCAAAAGAGTCTCAGCTAAGGAGCCATTTATTGGTGGCAAAGGTTTATACGTGGCATATTCTATTGTATATCCAACTTTAAAGAAAGTCTGTCTTCAAACAAGAGTGTGATTGACATGGTGTTTTGCAGATTTTTATAAAGCTGTTAATTGCCTGCCTGATTGCATCAGTTGCAAGTGGAGAAACCCATGCTTTTGAAGAAAAAAGTTATGTGCTCATTCCATTAGTTAGTAGTGCATGTTGCAACTCCATCAATATAGGAGACAGAAAACTGAACCATATTTACTGTTTATTTGTTTTTTCCTAAGAAAAAATTGTTTACTCTTTGACAGTCATGATTTGGGAGGGGAAAAAATGGAAATAATGAAAGTGATAAACTTTGCACAAATCTAAGTTGTCTCTTTCCATTTTAGCCTCTGCAAAAAAGGCAACACGGCATTTATGTTTAGGGGAAAACGTATATCAAAAAGAAAAGTTTTGTTGAACGTCTTTAATTTCCATTCTCTGAATGTCACTGTCCCTTGCAGGAGCAGCAAGAGAGGAAAAATGAATTTGTGTAAACAAAAGACCTTATGCGAATGCCTTCTGTTAAGATTTTTTGCATCTGTCATAAAGTTTTATGCTTTAATCATACTGCAATGAAATGAAGTAGTAGCAGAGAGGGACCGTTTGTTTGCCAAAATTCAAGATGCAGAAACTTTTTCTTGCTGTGCAACCACGTGCTTATTGGTGATATAAATATACTTGGTTGACAGGGCATAACTGTTGCCATAGTCTTGTTTGTGGCACAGTTCTTTTGAGAATATTCTTATAGTTGGTTTTCTAAATTATGAGATTGTGGGTTTTTTTTTTTTTTTTTGTTAAATATTTTTGCAGGTTATCCAGAGACTGTTAGAAGAAAAACTTGCTGCTTTGCAGTGTGCCGTGTTTGACAAGACTCTGTCAGACTTGAAAACACGAATAGAGAAAATAGAATGTAACAAGAGGCATAAAACTGTGCTTACTGAACTACAGGTAAGTGTGCGTGTGTGTTGAATTGCATAGTAGAGTCTTACTCAAATAAATTCCTCAGTATTTAGTTGTAAGTCTCCTGTAGCTGTTATTAGGGAAGCCACTTTGACTCCTGGGGAGTGGAGGAGAATGTTGCTTTTGAGTTGTAAAATTCTCTTTCTCCACTCCAAAAAAAAAAGAAAGCAATCAATTAATCATCAACAGACCAAAGCAAATCCTCCTTCTGGCAAGCCAATTCATTTGTTGTTAGTTAAGTCACTTTCCAACTCTTCTCTGCCATTCAGATATTCTTCAGATAAATGCAGAGTATGAAAATATCTCTTAACTCTGTTCTGTCGGTCCAGAAATTTAATTAAAAAAGGAAAAGTATTGAAAGGAGTGGGACAGTAGCACCAGACTTTGTAGAATATTCAAAGAAATATCACTTGATAATCATCCACATTATCTCATCTGGAAACTAAATAATTGTGCTCCAGTAAGGAAACAAATGACTAGCACTGAAAGCAGTGTGCTTTCTTGCATTCTTTTATAAAGATGATGTACATAGTGGTGAGATGAAGAACATCACAAAAATCAAAGAATATTGAATTGAAAAGACAAAGTTAAGCTTGTGTGGTGATAAATTCAAATACTAAGGCCATTCTGCTTTAATGTAAGAAAAGTATGGAGTTTGCTGCACCAGTTACTCCTAGAGGTCTCTTCTTTTCTTTTCTTTTCTTTTTTTCTTTTTTTTTTTTTTTTTAACCAAGAATTTTATGCTGATCACCTGCTAGGCAGTAGTTAAGGCACAAAACAAGTATACTTGTTTACAACACACATGTATACTTGTTTCAGAGTCTTCAGGCATCAACTGTGGTGTCAAAATAATAACTTCATGTAAGATGGGAATGTGTCAATGATAACATACTTGCAACCTAAATTTACTTGGTTTTATTATTCAGGGTGCTCCAAAAGACCTCTAAGTTGTACAGCATAACCAAACTGTTATTGCAGTATGTGTAGTTAAAGGCAGACTACAATTGCAGCCTGTCGCGTTGCTTTATAAAAATGTGAAAGATGCGAGGTGTCCACCTGGGGCAGCTTCTCTTAGGTCAGAGGTTCCAAAATCATGGTATGTGAAACTCCCTGGTTTTAAAAAGCATTCAGTCTTTTAGTGTTAATTCAGTGATTTCACAGCAGTTCATTTTAAAAAAAAACAAAAAAAACCCCAAAAAACCTAACCTTTTCCATTACAAAAAAGTACCTGCTTAGAACAAGCAACATAGCTACTGCCTCCAGAATAAGTCAGTCATAAGAACTGCAGCCCAGAGGGGTGAAGTTAGAATCTTCTAATGATGAGGTAATTGCAGAAGTGAAAGACCAGATATGAACCTGACACCTGAGCATCAAATAAAGTAGAACAAGTTGACAGTGAGGTGTATGTGATATGTAGTGCATCAGTAAGAGAGAGAAATAAAACTAATGAGGGAAGAGGAGATAATATGAAGAGCAAAAGGGGTGCTTTTTTCAATATGGATGTTTCATCAGACATTAAAATGGTCAAATGCTTTCTAGGTAAGCATGCAAACTAAATTCATGCAAAATGGGTTACGCTTGTGTAACTGTGAATAGGATGAAAATGATTCAGATTGTCTCCAAGATACGATTGCGATGCATTGTGATCTTCCTGCTTCTGCAAAGTATTATAGTTGTACTGTTTTCCATGGAAAGAATAACTTCTCCTGATACAACGATACTCTTTGACTTGATGTCTTAATTACATATCTTTTAGTTTGTACAATTTATTTAATGGTTCTTGGGGAAGGTGTTTTTATTATTTGTTTTATATCTTCTCATTTAGGCTAAAATCGCTAGATTGACAAAGCGGTTTGGAGCAGCCAGGGAGGACTTGAAGAAAAGACAGGAAGTAAGAACTGGACTTATGCTTGTTTTTCTGAACCAGCCTGTACCTTAAAGTGAATTTAATTTCTGTAATGTCAAGTCAGCTTTATAGAATTTCAGTGAGATGTTTGCATCCCGTTTTATAAAGAAATTTTATGTGCATAAAAATGGTGACCTGGTTCTTAATAGTGTTTACAAAGAAGGTAGGTTTTGCTTGTTTGGTTAAAAGGCAGTGATATTGAAGAATACAATCTTTACTTTAACATCTGTTATGTAATTCTGATTTGCACAGAAATTCCTTTATACGTTATCAGTATGAAAGTGCCTTAAATTGTATGTACGTAAATGTAATATACGGCAGCATGACTAGATTCCAGAGTAAATGAGAAGGGATCCCTGTATTCTCATTTTTATGATGGGAGTGGGGATCAGAAAGGACACAAACAGAAGTATTTCTCTGTGTCTAGAGTAAATATTTTGGATGAATCACTGTGAAGAAGTGGAAGCTAAAAGTCCATGAAAGTTCAAGAAGAAATTTTGACTCTCCTACTATAAAAGCCTGAAGGCAAGAGATTGATTAAAAAAAAGGGAGGAAGTGGGGGAGAGAGAGACAGGCGAGCAGACAGGACTGAGTAGGCTTTCGGGGTTTGTAAAAACATTTCAAGTTGGTCTGCATTTTTGGCGCCAGAAAATGTGTATCTTGCACAAAAATGAACAAACACAACATACAATTGAAATGTAAGTTGGCAACTTGACTTGTGGGTTTTATTTTTGTTGTAGAATTCACCAAACCCACCTTTGTCTCCAGGGAAAGCAGGGAGTGACACTGTGAACACAAACAATGTGACATATCGGTAAGGGAAATGCATCATTGATCCCATGTTCAAACTTAAAAAGGAGATCTGTGGTACATAATGTAGTAAATAATCTCTCTCTGTTTTTATTTATTTTATGAAAGGGCTCTTCCTTTTCCCTCCTCTTTCATGTGTAAAATTCCATTTTCTTTAACATCATTACATAAGTTATACATGAGCAGTATTGAATGCATTCTTTGGTAAACTAAGACGTGTTATTTCAGTAGCTAGAAATAGTTGATAAAAATGGAAGAGTAAAAAGAAATAAGGAAGAGAACATTCTCATAGCGAAAGGCAAACTTGGCGCAAATACTTGAAGATGTACGAATAAGTAGTGTTGCATTTTAGTTGGGAAATGCCCTAAATAAATTTACAAGGTGGAAAAAAAGGATAAATGGATTTCTGAAAATCAAATTGTGATGAACAGCTGTAAAATCTTTGTTGTTTTTACCATTATACTTAATCATTGTACCCCAGTGTGACTTATTGAGAGATGCTAACTGGAACTTCATTCCATAGAAATGCTGGCACAGTGAGACAGATGCTGGAGTCCAAGAGGAGTGTAGGAGAGAGCACACCAGCAGCTTTTCAAGCCCCTGTGAATGCAGGTAAGAAGCTTCTTGTGGACTTTATGAACACACTTCTTAAAATCACTACTTTCCATTAAATAAGTAACTGAACAGAACAAAACTTTGTTTCTTAGGACTATCTTCCCTCTCCCCTGCCCCCAATCCCCAGCCATCAAAAATCATTACTCTCAGCTCCCCGCCATGTTCCCAGTTTACATTTGTGTAGCGTGCTCATTAGTCAAGGGAATGCACGTGTTGATTTGGCCAACCAGAATGTGTATAAAAATTAGCTAAGATGCTGCAGCAGACCACTTGCTGGATAAGGCAGTAGAACCTGCTGTATCTCAACTGCACATGGAACACATGGCTCACAGGCCATTTATTGCACGGGAACATTATAGAATACTGTTCCCTCTTAAGTAATGGCACAAAAGTTGAGTGGGGAACTGATGTAAGTCATAAGCCCCGTTTCTTAAAGGAGTCAGGTTGAAAAATGGAGTTCCTGTATTAGAATTTTACAGGGAAAGTAAAATCAAAAACACTGGTAACGGTACATTACACCATCCTTGGTTTTAAAAAGTACTGTTTACCTAATATTGAATGCTGAGTCTTTTTCACAGAACCATCTCATAATAGGAATTCAATGGCTGCATGTAGTGTATTATGTTCCTGATCTTTAGATGCAGTCCTGAAATTTTTTTGCATTCTTTTGCATAGCTTCTGTGATATATTAATCCTTGATTTCAGTAGAACTTTCTGGATACAAGGTCCTACTTGTGCAAGCAAAGACAGTCATAACTGACTTAGCTTTTATTTTCTTGTGTTTTCTGAAGAACCAATTCTCCCGTCTTCTTTGTAATGAGTGTTTAAAATGCTATATGTATGTGTTTTCATTATTTAAACCTTGGGGCTTTCTCATGAATATGCATTCAAGTTTGTGTCATAGTTCACTGTATATCTTATTTTTCTGTCATTTGTCTATAGTTCTTTCAAACAGAAATTATTTCATCTTTAATTAGGCCATCAAATATCACTGTACAACAACAAAAGTATTAACTGGTAGTCTTCCTTTTAAAAATGGTAATAACGTAACACGTTTTTCCATTTGTTGCGTTGGAGCAAAGCTTACCACTTAGTCCAAATGCTTTAAAAAATTTTTTTTTTTTTTTTTTTTTGGCAGTGACAGCTGCCACTCTTGGTGCTCCTCAGACGGTTGTCAGTGGACATCCTAAGCCTCAGACTCCAGTGACCTCCAGCTCTTTGACAACTACAGTTCTTCCTGCAGCTAACGCAGCTACAGTTGTTGGCACTAGCCAGGTGCCCAGTGGCAGCACTCAGCCAATGTCTGTCTCGTTGCAGTCTTTGCCAGTAATCTTGCATGTACCTGTTGCAGTGTCATCCCAGCCTCAGCTCCTGCAAGGCCACACAGGGACTTTGGTCACCAACCAGCAGTCAGGCAACGTTGAATTTATATCTGTACAGAGCCCATCCACTGTTGGTAGCCTTACCAAAACTCCTGTGTCTTTGGCATCGACTAACCCAACTAAACCAAATAGCAGCCCATCTGTGCCCAGTCCTGGTATTCAGAGGAACTCTCCAGCCAGTGCTGGGACAATAGGGACAACATTGGCAGTACAGGCTGTTTCAGCTGCGCATCCTGTTGCCCAGGCCACAAGGACTTCTTTGCCCACAGTGGGTACTTCAGGACTTTATAATCCTACCAGCAGTCGAGCTCCCATACAGATGAAGATTCCCCTCTCTGCATTTAGTAGTACAGCTCCTATTGAACCACCCACCATTACAGCGCCCAGAGTTGGTAAGTTATGCTTGAATGTTGACACTGGGAAAGGAAGAGAGAACAGTTGTGTAAGGGAAACATAAAGCTCTCTTCCTGTGGCAATTTTGTTTCCAAGAAGCTCTCTTAGCTTTGTTTTGTTTAAAATTGGCTTTAAATTATTGCTAGCATCAATCAGAAACGCTAATTCTACTATTAATAACTTGATATTTATTTTTATATAGCCTCCCAAAATAACGTGGCTGTTTTCTAAGCGAAGACATAGTGAAAAGGAAGCATATTCATTAATTTAATTTTCACAACATTTGCAAGTAAACAAAATGAGGAAATAAAAAAAGAAAATTCGATTAGTTCCAAAGCATTTAAATGTATTTAAAATAGAGCCTTTGAGACAGTGAATGTTTAAATATGATATTTAGGTTAACTATTTTTAAATGCTTTCTTTCTGTCTTTGGCCATGTCATGATGGTTCTCTGCACTTCTAATTTTATGTGCCTTGAATTTTTTTTTTTTTGTTCCTTAATATGTGATCCTCAAGATTTCAGAGTGAGTTGGGATCATAACAAGAGTTTCTTATTATTGGCATGATATAATGTTAAAATTACTCAAGCAGTGTTTGACATCAGAAATAGTTCTATTTCACTTTCCTATCTTAAGTTACCTATGTCAAAATATATTATCTTCCATCAAAGTAACATTCATATACTTTGCATTTAGTTTTAGCTGTAAAGCTAAAGTAATCTTGATGTTGTGTAAAATAGAAAGGGCTGTGATAATTGGGGACGGTGAACAAAAAAAATGGTCCGTGTGACCAGCAGCTTGTCTGGTTTTCTACAGCTTGCTCAGTCTTGGATAATGTATGCGCTACTAGTTTTCGACCCAAACTGAAACACTGCTTTGGGCCAATGCTCTTGCTGATAAGTTGTGGTTAAAATGGAAAGCAGTAGGAAGGGAGAATTGTGATTTAAATGTTTGAATCACATATTCCCAAGTACTTTCACTTAGGTGACTAGTGTAGATAAATGTTCAGTTGAACTAACAAATATACTCTTTCCATGCATACTCTTTCCTCACTTTTGTGTTTTGCAGTCGGTTTAAGCATCCTTTGTTCAGTCAGTTTTCATGTAAAAATGTTGAATAACGTAGTTTTTTCAGTTTAATGTCTTGTCAGTTTACATACAGAGGGAGGAGAGGTGTTTTGTCTTTAGAGAGTGAGGGAATTGTCCATAAAATATTTGGAATACCCTGTCAGACTTTCAAGGAAGGAAATGTATAGTGCTTTTAGGTTGGAAAGTGCCATTTCACTTTTTTATAACTGCTGCTCCCTCTAAAAAATAGTAACAATCAAGCTGGAATGCTTATATTTGAAAATCAGGACTGAAAAATGTTAAACATGCAATGTACTGAGCATTTACTATCAAACAGTTGGGAAATGTTTCCTCCAAATTCATATAGTAGATAACAGTATTTAACATTGATTGATTAGATATTGTAAATGAATAATTTCTTGACCCCTCAGAAAACCAGACAAGCAGGCCACCAACAGATACTTCAGCGAACAAGCGAACTGCTGAGGGAACAACACAGGTAGGTTGTTGACTATGCTTCTCTATAAAATTCTAAAGTTACAATCCACAGGAGAGCAGTTTTCTACCTTTATTGCTCATAATGAATGAATTTTTCATTTCTTTTTTTGCGCCATCCTTTCTAGTTTCTGTCTATTTGTATTCTTCTTCTGATCCAGAGTATTACTGGGAGCATGAGCTTCTGGTAATCTTTTCAGAAGTTTTCCAATTGGGTTCATGTAAGTAGATGAGTTAGTAATTCAGGAGAGCACTGAAAACGTGTCAGATACAGAGCAAGCACACGAAAGAAAATGGCCTAGTTTTATATTTAAAGAGTCTGAACTGAAAGCTACAAACATCTTGTAAATTATTGCGACTCTCTAATTTCCACACTATTCCAGAAGCTATTTAGAACGGGAATTCTAATATTTCATTATTGTATGTCAAGGGTGGGGGGGGGGGGAGGGGGAGGAAAAACACTTTTTTCAGGAATAACTACTTGATGGTCAAGGAGGATTTGCAGTACATCCTGATTCCTCAAGTCTAAGATACTTTGGACTTGTTTTGAAATTTAAAGGTAGAAATTAAGCTATTCAAAATTATTTGTAATTAATTGTCTTTCTGCATACAGATGTTTAACAAAGCACCTCATACTTATACTGCTGTTAACAGGAAATCACTTTACTGAAGGGAATAAAGTAAATTTCCTCTAGCTAAAATTTCTACATTTAGTGGTGTTTCAAGTTATAATTAAATCTGAATTGTATCTCAAAGCAAGAAGAAAATATACTGGGCAAGATTCTGGTTTTCATCTGTCATAGAAACAAAGATAACTGATATTATAGATTTTCAGGTGTGCCTCACTCTACCCTTTTTTTAAAAGGCGTTTCATGAAGAATGGTTGTTTGGAACTTAATTTTTGTAGATTACCTGTGGATTATAGCTATTAAAAAAAATCTATCAATATGTGAAATGTAGGAAATACAGTGCTGGGATGTCTAACAGATGTATGGTTTCAAGAATTAACTTTTACTATAAGAGGCATATTTTAAAAGCTTTCTTATTTGGTAGAGCCTGAAACCTGGAAAAAATTTTTGCAAAAACAGATTGCTAAATACCACTATTGCACACAATGGAAGGTGAGCAAGGAGGGGGGAAATGAAGGACATGCAATGCTTTCCGGTTTTCAGTCCTCTGTTACAGTGTATGGTTTGTAGGTTTGTTTCAGTCAAATCAGTTAAAGCATGTGTAATGCCATGGTTAATGAGGAAGGATCTGATGCATTTTAATTGGCTAGTGAGGTATGAAATTGACATGCCCTATCATTTGAAAAATCCAGTGAATGCCACCTGCTTTTTGTTATGTAAAATCCAAAATATTATGTATTACTCCGCACTTCACAGCTTTCAGAACAAAAAGTAGTTCGCTGTGTGCCGTATACCTGTGGCATATTTGATGGTACAACTTTGATCAATTGTTTCGAAAAGCAGTTGAAACAGGAAGAGACTTCATCAGAAAAAAAAGAAGCGGTAGAAGCACCACAGACGAATTTTAACTTCCCTGAGGATGTCCTCTTTGGCTTGGAGGAAGAGGAAGAGGATGCTAAGAGCATCAAAAACACCCACAAGCAGACTGGCTGGGCAGCTAACCTATTAAAGCAGTGGCTGGCCAAAAATGGCAAGGATCCTAGCTTTGAATTGGTCCCAGTAAGTGAACTCAATGATATTTTGAGAGAGTTTTATTACACAATAAGGAATCATGACGGAAATACCTACAGTGTGGCAAGCTACAAGTCAATGCGTGCCGGCTTAAACCGGCATCTCAAAATGCCACCTTATAATCGTCAGATTTGCTTAATGAAGGACAAAGAGTTTGCTAGTGCAAACATGGTGTTTGTGAGTGTGCTGAAGATGCTGCGCATGCAGGGAAAGGATGAGACTCACCACCATCCTCCTATAGCTGCTGAGGACTTGCGTAAGATTAAACAGTCTGGTGTGCTGGGATTGCACAGTCCCCTGGCACTCGTCAACAAGGTGTGGTTTGATTTGCAGTTGCATTTTGCCAAACGAGGGAGGGAAATCTTAAGAGATCTGGCTCCAGATGCTTTTGTTGTTGAGAAGGACAAGAACGGGCGTCGATACGCTATGTTTAGGTATCCTGGCAAAGGAAAAAATGGTGAAGATCCTCATAAAATGGGTAAAATGTATGATATGCCAGGGGACCCAAACTGTCCTGTTTTCTCCTTGGAGCTTTATTTGTCTAAGTTACCTCCGGAGCCCCCTGCCTTTTACCTGCATCCTTTAAAGCTAACATCAGAGCAAATGCAAGAACAGCCTGTCTGGTACAAAAGAGAACCAATGGGTGTGAACTACTTAGGTACTATGATGCCCAGGATAAGTGTGGCAGCCAGGCTCTCTCAGCGATATACTAATCACTCTCTCCGAACTACCACCATCCAGCTACTGTGTGAAGCAGGACTGGGGCCTAGAGAAATAATGGCAGTGACAGGCCATCGCTCTGAGTCTGCTATTAGACACTACTGGGGAGCTGCGGAAGTTCGCTACAGGGCTTGGTCAGAAATAATGGAGAATAATGCCCCCAGTTATCTGTATAGCAAGATTCCAAATGAAGTGATAACAGAAGCATTATCTGGTGCCTCCACTTCTATAAATCACGTTGTTTTAGAACAAAACAAAATTTTATTTCCTAAGAAATCTGTTGTGCCATCTGGCAATAATTCTGTGACTTTAGTCCCTGGGGGTCGTACAGCTCTGAATTCTAACAGTCACATCCTGTCGAACCACGCTTCTTCCAAGGTGTTTCTCTCCAAGAACATAGCCAGTGTGAATCTAACTGCCAGTCCCCTTCAAGGCTGTTGTAATGAACCTGTCTTTATAAATCGTGTGATAAAACAAGAACCAATGACTTGATGCTTTCGTTATGGAACTGATTTCAAATGAATTGCTAAAGTACAAAATTTACCAAAACTTTTTCACTTGGTCCACTAAGGAAATTTCTTGCTGCATAGTTCAGCAAGAAATATCCTGTTCACACTCCTGAAATGAGCTATGGAACAGAAATTTAAACAGAGCAGGACTTGGAGTTTGTATGACTTTCTGTGGCAGCTGTATGACTTTCTATGGCAGCTGGCACTCTTAAGTGGCTGAAGAGAGCTATTTTAAAAAATGAAAGGGGATATTGATTTCCACTTAGCTGAAGAGCTATATAACTTTCTTCACTAAGTGCTTGGCTTTTATATTTTGTGAAGAGTGTATTTATTAAACCGTTTTATGCCTGCTGGCACTAATGTAGCATTTTACAAGTCAAATACTTGACTGTAAGAAGATAACAAAGAAGGTACAAGCTGAACGAAATAGACGTAAATACACTACAAATATATATGTACGCATGAAAACACCTAGAGTCATTTGACCGCTGTGACCCTCTCTCTTCAGATTATCATCAGACCTTCCAGAGGATTGTTCTTGTTTTAGTTTCTTCTAAATTGGCTTTCCTCTGTGGGTTACAGACTTATATTTTAGGTCTTTCCTTTTCCTTTTTCATGTTTCTGGCTAAGATTTCAATCGTTCTGGTCTCCAGAGGCGCTATTTGTTATAAATGATGCTAAAGTTGGTATCGTTTCCGTTATGCCTGAAATGGGAGAAACTGTCCTCAAAAGGATTGAGAAGTTTGTTACTTCTATGTCAGATAATTAAAGTTGAAGTGCCATCTCCATATGTGCTTATCTTGAGAGAGGTTTTTATTCATATCCTCTCACCTACCCCTTCCTTCCATTGCATTTCACATGGTATCAGTATAGTATAATAGTCTATCAGAATTCTTTCCCAAAAAGCATGTCCTGTTCTTCCCCACCAAACTCTGGGTTAGAAATCTCGTCTCAGGACAGCGAATGTGAATTTTGTCAGAGAAATGAAATTGCTTTTAAAAAGGCTCTCTTCTGATGAAGAGAAATTAGAAATTGGGAGGACTAGTTTGGCTCATTAAAAATGAACTTACTTGAGAATCTAACTCAATTCATAGTTTGTCTCTGCTATTCTATGCCATGAATTTTTGTCAGAGCTTCTGACAAATCACAAAATCTTAACGTAGGTAAAAATGAAAAACTGGTCATCAGATCACAAAATATGGCAGGTCTAGTTTGGAAGAAGAAATAGCACAGTATTTAAAACACTGTCCATTATTTTAACTAAGTGAAATAAGAATAACTTTGTACTTTTGAAGTGTGTGTAGAAATTTTTTGTGTGTAGATGTATGTATGCACACACATGTGCACACAATCTGTCACACTGAGGACTTAACTGTAGAGATATAGTTCACTAGGGAAGTATTTATGTTCCTCAGCAGTGTACAAAACAGAGAAAAATCCCAGCTGAAATAATAAATTTACCATTATAAACTCCTAATTCTGTGGAGGACTGCCTTGCTTGGAAAGGCTTTCAAATATTGAATGAATTTTATTGCAGTCTAAGCAGAGGACTTGATGCCTGAATTTCAGATTTTTTTAATCATGGCTGATAATTACTTTTATGGCCTTGGATATTGTATTTTTAGTTACATTACAAACTGTCTGTTTTCCAGTGTGCAAGATTAGCATAGTGTGTTCCACTTTCTGATGGATCATCTTAAAGATGAAAAGGTTTTGAAAGTTCTGTATTCATCTTAACGTATTGGGTTTACAGGTACTTTTGTTTGCTATTTTTGTAATGATCAGGGTAGTTGATTAGACATGATCATTAATACAAAAATTACTTCTGCACAATTCTACATTTACTTAGTTGCAGCATTAATTTGTAATATGACTAGCAGAAGGAAAGTATGGATCCAGGATTATCATTTTATCAAATGTTGAATAAATAAAATAGAAATGGTAAAGAAAGCAATCCTTTCTAGTGGCTAGAAAGAAGGAAAATTGAAACAAATGAAGGGCAACCTAAGTTATCAAAAATATAGGGGAATTGCAATAACTTCCTCTAGGGTTTTTTAGAGTAACGTAGGCTTGTA